CTATACCCACTGTAATTAGCACTTAATTTCAAAAATGCGTTTTGGTCTTTAAAGGGTTAGTTCACCCAAAAATTAAAATTCCGTCATTAATTACTCACCCTCGTGTTGTTCGAAACCCGTAAGACCTTCGTTCATCTTCGGAACACAATTTAAGATATTTTTGATGAAATCTGAGGGCTCTCTGACCCTCCCAAAGACAGCAAGGTAACTACCACATTCAAGGTCCAGAAAAGTACCGAGATGATCGACAAAGTAGTCCGTGTGACATCAGTGGTTCAACTGTAAAGTTACGAAGCTACGAGAATATATTTTTTGCACAAAGAAAACAAAAATAACCACTTTATTCCACATTTTCATCTCTACTGCGTCACTTGTGGATCGCGTTCACGACAGTACCATGACGCGAGCGTGTGGCGGCACCACACCTCCACCTCTACTCTACTAAGCTAGAGGAAAACAGGGCCCGACTTCTAACATGTTCAATATGCTCATTTTATGAACTACAAAGAAATGAGAGATGCGCACATACAAACTCCACTGAAGCAGGCATGTGTATGAGGCACATACGTGACATCAAAACAATATGAACACAGGAATTTTGAGCAAATCAGAAAGAAATGGCTCACTATCATTAAAAATATATTAGGAACACTTATAACTAGCATATGGTACAGCCATTAGCCCTCTTGCTATCAGGTTTTCCTTGTTGCCATTTGAAGTTGTTCTTACTTAATATATAATATTAGCATATTTTCTCTCTTTCAAAATGTAGTGAACTGACTGAGTTTGATTGCATCATATAATAATTGCTGTTAATAGTGTTCATCGTCTGTTTGATTACGTCTTTAATTGATTTTTCAGTACATTTCTGCCATATGTACATTAACTGACAGTCACCACTGATAAGCTACCACTAAATATTGTAGAAACTTAATTTGCTGTAAAGTTGCTTTGCAACGATTTGTATCGTGAACAAATAAACTTGAATTGAATTGAATTGACTGCACAGGCATGAAGGCATTATAGACGCATTCCATGGAAAAGGCTTTTCCAAAAGGTAAGCACCACAATATGCTACTTCTTTTGTGTTTGCTTTTAGGCAAATCTGAAGATAGCGTCACATATAATCTTCAGAGAGAATGCAGTTGCATAATGAATTACGAAAAATCCATTTAAATGGGTGATAAAATGATGATTATGAATTTAATTCATTCTATAGCAAGACGTTTAGGTAAAATTAGTTCAATCTAATTAAAATTTGTCAATTTTACCCTATATTTGTGTATTATGTATTTTCATGCTTATCAAAGCAGGATTTCCCAAACTAGGGTTCAGAGTTTGTGAGTAAAAAAATAAAATAATTAATGAACTCATAATAATTGTATAATTAAATGTCAATTAAAAAATAAAATAAAAATGTAAAATTACAAATACCTAGATGTATAATTCAGTAAATAAAATAAAAATGTAATCATGTAAAGTAAAAAAAAAAAATTTACGCTTACTAAAAACATAAAATATTTAATTTGTTTACCTTCATGTAGCCATTAACGGAAATCAGAGAACTGTGAACATGCAAATGTTGTTAAATTGTTAAAATATTAACCTAAAATCTCATTATTTATTTCATTATTCTATATTATTTCAAGTAAATATTTTAGCAGCTGACAAAAAAGTTTGGAAATCCATGTATCCATGTATGCAGTGCTTAGCTATCGAACTGTATTGAAATCAGTTGTCTACCTAACATTTTATGTTTCTGCCTATGTAGAGTGTTTTTAATTCCGCTCAGTTATGAGGTTCCATTTCAGTTTGGATGCTGCCTAAGAAGGCAGCTGACTCTTTAGCTATGGCATGTCGCTAGGTTTTGGGACAGAACCTTTGTTTTCACTAACAGCAATATCTTAAAAAAATCTTTAAGTCCTGACTGAATTTATAACAGTACACATGAGGACCCTCAGAGGTGTTGAGTGGATTTTTCAGTGTTGTTTTCTCGTTTTCTTAGGTGTGGGATATGTAGAAAGCAGGAAACAGGGAGTTATTACATGATCTGAATGTAAGCATGCTTTCCTATATAACTGTTTAAATGTGTTAGACATGAGGCATGACAGACATGACAGTAAAAATAAACATGTTTAACACTGTGTCTGGGCAGCATTCATGAAGCATGGACACCAGTGGCAGCCGGTGCTTCTCAAGTCACTTATTAGCAGCTAAATGTGTACTCATTTTTTTAATCATGCAAAAGATCAAACTCCCAACCCCCCATACGCGTTCCTCTCCTTTATTGTCCTCTCTACCCATTTTTCCTGCACTCCTTCACATTGATCCAAAACAGATTCATTTCAGATTCCAGTTACAATACATCTCATTGATCCGCACATCTCCTCTAATTAGCCGTTTGAATTTAACACTTGTATGGTGGCGGCCCAGTCACAGAGTAAACCATCCTCAGGAGAGAGCGAGAGCTCAATGAATGAGCGAAGACTTTTCTTGCAACCCAGGCTCATTGGAAAAACACACCTCTACCTATGTTTTTGCAAAACTCTAAAGACCTACCTAATGCACTGCAGTTTCTAGCTGAAAAGAACACTAGTGGCTGTAAAACACCAACCAGCTTTACTCCTCTTCACACAAATTATGGTTAAGATTATTGATTAATAAAAGACTGAATTTCCTGGTGTTCCTTCAAAGTTATGACTTCAAAACTCTTTAACGTCAATGTTTGAGTCCTGTGAAACACGAGTCAGAATGAAAAAGCTCAAAGACTTTTAGAAGCATGAATGGCATGGTTGCTTCAGTAAATGCATTTTATCTCACATTTGCTTTTCTTAACACTATCGCTTGGATTTAAGGTAGGGTTTAGTGTAGGTGGTACGTTATTTTCAAATGTAATAGAGCATTAATCTTCTAGTGCCACTCACCAGACATTTAATTTCCAAACTGCTGCGATGCATACACCAGTAACGTAATAACATGTTGCCAGATTCATGTTCATCTGCTTTGGATAAATCTGGTTGCACTTTATTTTGATAGTCCATTTTAGACATTGTACTAACATACTCTAAGTAACTTTGCAATTACATGTCAACTAACTCTCAGTAGAGTATTGTCAGACTTAGGTTAGGGTTAGTAGAATAAGCTAACATGTACAAGTTACTTATAGTCAGTAGAATCTCTGTTGGGGAGCCATCAAAATAAAGTGTTTGCTTATATTAAGCGACAATAATCTAGAGACTGGTAGATGACATGATGTTGCATAGTTAGTACAATGTCTAAAGTGGGCTATTAAAATAGTGTTACCATAAAACTGAATGTACTTTTAGTGCCACTCACTGAACATTTCACTTTGAAAGTGTTGCAAAGCATCACATGGTTTTCAGAGATCGTTCTGATATGCTGAGCATACAAGGATTTAAAAAAAAAAAGAAAATCTTAATTATTCCTAACTTTAGTGTACTTATTCCCGACTAGACTAGTTGCTATGGAAGCTTGTTTTTGCCATGGGATGCAAACTCAGACTTCAGAGGAAAAAAGTAAGAATTGTTAAACTTTGAATTGTGAGATATAAACACTTTTTTTCTTGAGTTTACATCTCGCAATTCTGGCTTTTTCTCAGAAATTGCAAGGGAAAAAGGCTTCCTTAAGTCGCTGGTCACCAGCATGTTGTATCACAACATGCTCACATTAGCTTTATTAGCCACAGTTGATGCTGTTTCGCAAGCAGTCAGACCACCCGGTCGACATCCGATCAAAGGAGGCCTCGTAGTTTCACTGTAAGGGTCCTCTAGGGTCTCTCCCCACACATTTGTAAGTTTGGGGTTTTATGAACCTGGAATGACTGTACGTTTGCCAGACCCTATAGACTCCAATCACTGTCAGCAGAAACACACGTGCAGGTTCACACACACGCACTAGACGAGTTAGTGAACATCATGGAGCATTTTGCTCTGTCACCGGCTCTAAAGAGGAAGTTGCACTCACAAACACACATGCATGCCCATTACTCTTAGTGTTATTCCTCAGAGGACTTAAACCCACAGAAGCACAAACATCCGGGATTAAACACACCACTCTGTGTACTTCAGTATATGTGTGCATGTAGCTGACACACTAAGACTGATGGGAAAAAAGAAGAAGAAAAACCCTCGTATGGCCTCAAACCACCTTAAATAAAATTACAATAGTAAATTAAAACAGTAGGGTATGCAGTCTTTTAGGATTACATTATGTTTTGAATACCTTCATGCACATGGGTCTTGGTTTATAAATACATGTTGATTTTTTTTATTAGAAAGTCTGTTATAAGTCTGAAAAATTAATGTTATTGTTAATAGTGGAATTAATCAAGTGAGCAATTAAAAATGGGGGCAAAAACAAAAGTGTTGCGTTTATAATTTTGTTCAGTGTATCTCTATTGTAGTATTTGGATGTTTTCATTTTTCTGACATCTCCGTTTACTGATATATAGTGTGTCTGTGCATCAATTAATTAATAATGTTAATAATTTTATAGTTTGTGTGTGTTTTCAATTTCACGTTCTATCCTCTTAGTCTTCCAGGAAGTGACATCATTTAAGAGGGAAAACGGCAGCACAAACATCAGTATTATCAATGGAGTGTATGAATTCTATAATGTTTTGTTGTATTTGTAGGTTTTTGTCACTTTTAAAACATTCTGTCCTATTCTAATTATTCTATAAACTTTTTTTTTAACCACTGTATAAATAATAAAGTCATAATGAATGAAGTTGAAGTGTCTGACCTTGTCAAGAAGAGCATATTACCCTTTTAACGTACTTAATTCACAACACAAACATTGAAAATTGTTTTTAATGTTCAAAAGTTACTGCAAATGTCTCATAGATGTTTTGATGTATTCATAGGGGTTAAAGAAGGTGACCACCAGTGGTGGACGAAGTACACAAATCAAGTGAGATACTTGAAAAATGCACTTAAGTACAGTAACGAAGTAAAACTACTCCGTTACTGTCCACCACTGGTGACCACCAGTGTTACATTACTCAAGGTTATCACTGGATTTACCAGTTTGCCAAGTTTTCCAGGTTAGTGGCATCAAATTTTTCAAAAATATGAATAGTTTAAGACCTAAGCAGAAAGTAAACTAGAGATTCTATGAGCAGAATTGTATGTTGTGATTTATGTTTGAGGTAGGTTTGCAATAATCTGTAATTGAAATAATTGTACTTTCCACTAAACTGACATAATTGCTGATTACCAACTGTACACACATTTCTGCTCACGTTTTTAGGCAGCTGAACAGCTGATCAACACTGCTGTGCATTTGTTTGAATGTGTTTTATATCAAGTTAGTTTATGTCACGTAAAACATATAAACTGTGATTGTTCGCTTTGCATTCAGTCAGAACATCTCTTCTCATATGCAAATGTAATATATATACAGTATATATATATATATATATATATGTGTGTGTGTGTGTGTGTGTGTAAAATTTCCATACATTAAATATATTTGAAGTAAAAACATAAAACCTATTATAATTTGGAACAATTTCATATATTAACAAGTACTGTATATCTGGCCCATGCAAATATGTATGTTTATGTATGTGGAATATGTTTTTGGACTTAAGTGTATTTAAGGGGGTCTGAATACTTTCCGTACCCACTGTATATCCATCCTAAAACCCAATGATACAAGTAAATATAAAAGATAGACGTGTATTTAAAAATGCATTACAAAAACATATAAGCATACAGATTTTTTGTAAATGTTGTTTTAATAAAGTTGCATATATAAATGAAATACATGTTGACATATATGGTTGCTACATAGAATACCATATATATAAAAAACATCATATAGATATTATTAACATATGAATGAATGAATGAATTAATGATGCATTTATATAGCACTTTATTGTGTATTGTTGTACACCCAAAGCACTTTACAATCATGTGGAGGGGTCTCTCCTCAACCACCACCAGTGTGCAGCATCCACTTGGATGATGCGACGGCAGCCACAGGACAACGGCGCAATTGCGCTCACCACACACCAGCTACAGGTGGAGAGGAGGGAGAGT